CATAGAGAAAAGCCTTACCTGTTTTGACTTGGTTTCGGTGTCACCAACACACGTACAAGTGGTGCAAACAAGGGGCCCACCCCTGTCACGTGTGTTGGTGACAATACGGAAATTATGTGAAAATTTTGGAAAAATCTTATTTACTTCTGTACACCTCTACTTAGTACACCTCTACTTATTCGTATGTAAACTCCTATAATGTAGTAGCTTTGGAAACTCCTGAGCTCAGCTGCTGAGGAAAGCGATTACATATATTCTTACTCCAACACTAGACTATCAGTCTCAGTGCAATGATCATAATTTTTTTCTCATAATTTTGAATAGAGCAAGATGTAAAGTTGGGAAAATCTATACATACGTTTACATATGTTTTCCTGAGGATTGGATCCTCAGCTGAGTTGAGGAATATACACAACGTGTGATAGAAACTCATAAAAACCAACAAGAATTTCCTTTCAGAATTTCCATATTGTCACCAACACATGTACATATTTTCCCCCAGACTGCGACTATAATCACCTCTTGTGTGTGAGCCCAGCCCGCGAGTTGTTTGAAAACATGAATAACCGATATGGTTTGGTCGAAGTCGAACATTGCCAGACGCAAACGTGAGGCCTCTTTTGACGACTCCAACATGCTTATAAAAAACTGACTTTCAGAAATGTCACACTGGATGTCATTGATCCGAAAGTTGAACGTCATCGAATCGAACGGCCAAAGATGTTATATTTAACTCCAACTGATGACACACATTCAAGTGTGACAGATATGATTGGAGTTTCACAACAACCCGTTTTACGTGAAGTGGCGTCGTAAAACTCTGTGAAAAACGCGATATTCGCGGTGATATGCAGTAGTAGTCGTGAAATATGTGCTTTTCACTAGTGTTTTCCATATCACTAGGGTGAAACCCAATGAACATGCATGCTACTATATTTGCGCGGCGACAACGATACAAAAAGTGAAAAAAACTCAAACATGATTTTCTCGAAAAATTTGTGATAAAAAATCTTACCTTTGCACGGGAATGGCATCCAGCTAGAGCAGTGAAAACATTCACAGCGGCAATAGTCTGGTCGAAATCAAACATCGCCAGTTTCAATGCAGACTTTCTCGAACGCGAATAAGGTGGACTCATAGGATTAATTCACAGAGAAATTCTTAGTTGAAATAAAATTACGAATACCATCCCTCCGTAAAATCATCACGCAATGTCAATGTAAATGTGAGGGAAGAAACATGGTGATTACTATATGAAAGAAAATTGCAGCTCTACTGCTCATACCAACAATACAGCTACAATAGTAAGTATGCGAAGTGAAAATATCCTTCTTGAACAGTTCCAGGTAAGGAGACTTAATCGACTAGGTAAGTTCGTTATTCTATGATTGCTATAGGAAAGGGTGACCCCCTCAGCGTGAAAGTAAGGTGGGTAGTCTTATTCTCAAGCTGATCAATTCTGTGTAGAGGTAAAGTCTAGTAAGTAGAGGTAAAGTAACTAATCTAATCCTCGAGGTAATTACCTCTAGGGTAGAGTCAACTAAGTAGAGGTAAGGGTAATTAATCTAAGCCGCAAGGTAATTAGTAAGTACCTCTAGGTTAAGGTAAAGTCAATTACGTAGAGCTAAGGGTAATTAATCTAAGCCGCGAGGTAATTACTAATAACTCCTAGGTTAAAGTAAAGTCAACTAAGTAGAGGTAAGGGTAGCTAATCTAAGCCGCGAGGTAATCAGTAATTACCTCTAGGTTGAAGTAAAGTCAAGTAAGTAGAGGTAAGGGTAATTAAGCGGAGCCGCAAGGTAATTAGTAATTACCCCTAGGTTAAAGTAAAGTCAAATAAGTAGAGGTAAGGGTAATTAATAATTCTTTCTACGAGTGAAGGTAGAAGCTGCCCAATACGAATGCCCAGTCGAAAACAACATGGACCCTTTACCGGCAAATTCCTACTATACCAAGTAGACTTCGATGATGTATATATTCCTACCACAACGAACTGAATTCGACGAAGTCTTTCATACACCATGATTGGTCAACTTAGTAGTGGCTTCAGCCTTACCTGGAGCTGGACTGAGTTGTCCTCAAAGGCAGCCTAGAAAGGCTCCTTGGAAAGCAGCTCGGTTATATCATCATTAGCCACTATTCGTATCACACCAAATAGGAATAAATTCCTATATTCACTTTATTATAAGTCAAGTCAAATGAGGTTATTTAATCACTGGATATTAAAAACATATTTCACGACTACTGCATACGGCAAATATCGGACAATTTTCTCACCCAGTGAAACTCCACTGAGATGTATTGACAACATTAATAATGAATATTTCAGGTGAATGACTCTAGTGTAAATCGCTTAAGAATAGACAACCTCGACACTAGGACCCACACAAACTCATAGTTCCAGAAACTTCGAAATAACACAATCATGATCATCATCAAGTCATTGTCATCATCATCGATCTTGAGGGCGCAGGGCAGGATACCCCATAAGAAACCGTAAGATGCGACTTTGGGCCACCTTGCGAACTGCCTTGTTCTTTCTATCAGCTCTGAGGGAACAGAAAACAAAGCTCAAAAATGGGGTGGGGACAGAACACACAAAAATAACATCAGTCTCGTCCTATAACTTTCAGGGAGTATTACACCACTTCACGTCAACCGGGTGAATCTTCAAAAAGTCTTCATATTTTTAATGAAAAATATAAAGACTTTAATAAAAATTTTTTCCATTCCAATAGTCTAACAATAATAAAAGAATGGTGAAAATTGCCATTAGTGAAAAAGAGAATTTCTTACGGTTTTTCTTACGGGTGTAATATTCCTATCTCTGCATCGGGGGCACATTTTCGTATTCCTCGTCGATCATGGAGGAGGTCGAACCTCTCAGTAACGTCTTTGCCACAATGCGGTAAAATGGCTTTTGGCCCGCCCGGATGGTCCGCAAGAAAGTTGGTTACGTCATAGATCTTATCAGCAATGATAAGCCAACAGTCGGACTCAACGTTGTGACTTGCAATTTCAGAAGCTCGATAAGTGGACGATTCTCCCATACCTTTTCAATGGTGACCTTCAAAAAGCACTGCAAAATACTTCCAATTTACATGTGTAGTAATGCCTACCACACTACTGCTACTTTCTACGATAGGAAGAAAGTTATTCTTCCAGCGTTCTGTAAATATATTGTATTTCATACCACTCTTCCCTCTATTCCACGACTACACGAGTTTTGGGCAATATTTGGGTAGCCTCAGATTTACCTGCTGCTGGACTTAGTTGTCCCCATAGGAAGACGCTCTGTTGGAGTGACTCCTCTAGATACAGCGAGTTATCTCATCATAGGCAACATGTTCCGAAGCAGTTGTTGTAACAGATCAGCCTTCGAACAGCCGAAGCATTAGCGAAACTGTGGCGTTTATCTCGCGCGCCAAAATAATCGATTTGATAAGCTGCAAGATTTATTTGAAAAACAACATGAAATTCAGTGAACTATCCTTGAGTGCCCATTGAAGATTCCCAACTTATTTAGCACTACGGCTACGTACAGATCGACTCGTCTTCACTGCTCATCCAGATCATAGTACTCGTTAAAATTGACGAAATTGGGCTTCAGGTGCTGGCTTAGTAGTTGTCTGCTTCGATGCTTGCATGGTGATCTCAGTGCGAGCTCGTGGACATCTTTATCTTATCAATTTTGGAAAACTATTTCTCCCGAAGATTCGGCGATTTACAATAGAAACCTGCTGGTCAGAAATTCCACTTTGCACCACGGATGTGGTGTGACTGCACCGAGTCGGGTGTACTGAGAAACAGTTGAATGCTGTATGAATAAGGAGTAATGAGTGAGAATATATACTTGCCTAGGATTGAACCCGAGTTGTCCGGTGTTAAGCTACCCTTGTCGGAGCCTCTCCTCATTGAATCAATTGCCAACGTGATGTTATCACTATCAGTGGGCACTCTAGTGCTCCTGTACATAGATATCTCTATTTCGGGCTAGGCAATTCCTAAGAAATCCATTGCGCTCAGTGAAGGCTCTTGCTTCCCCCGAGCATCTGTTCGCTACTGCGAGACTCCCTACGCCCTATCTAAACCTATCAGCCCATTTGGTAGGGCCTGTGAGCATGGACACTGTTCCCTCATGGAATACTGTCTATCATTTTGTGTCGAATCTGTCCCCTTGTATTCAGTCATGGTTCAGCGGTGGTCTGTTGCGGCTCTAGTGGGAAACTCTCATCAGACGAATCCATCCAAGGAGCTCTGTAATCTATGTCTGCATCACCGTCAAACCGAATGAGCTCTTTGTGTACCAAGTTACACTACAACACTATTATATAATCAGCTCTGGTATAGCCGTATTATATCTAGTCTCATGCTATTCAAAAGAACTTTGCCTATCCTCGGATTTTCATCAGCTATTGATGCAGCTACTTGCTGGTTGGTGCCTTTGCGAGCTTTCCTGTTCCATCCGAGTACCTCGGTCATAGCACCTCGGTTGCATCAATTCGGTGGATATGTATCACCGCACTGTTTGAGTATTTTCGTTAGTCGGGAAATACCCCTTTTAGTTGCCGTATAAAGACTTAACTAGGCTGGTCTCGTTGAACAATGAGCTTTTATTGAGAGATTGTTGAACTTTTAGTTGTTATACTGTTGAAAATGCTAGATTTTACAGCGATTCAGGAGTGGGTTACCAAAAACCTTTCTACGATCTTGCTCATTCTATTCGTATTGTTCCGAGTGTGGACAGTTCGGAAGAGTCTCCAAGGTGGTGACACGGAAAAAGAGGTCAGTTTTTGTGCATCTGAGAAGTGGTAGCATGGTTTATCCAGGTCCCTGGTAACAAGGTGGTTACCGTCGCTAACATGGCCGAGTGGAATGAGCGTCAGGAGGAAGCTAAGAAGAATAAGAAGATCATTGTTGCTGATTTCTTCGCTACGTGGTGTGGTCCTTGCAAGCGAGCGGCTCCAGAATATCAGCAGATGAGCATCGACTACGATGAGAAGACTGTGATGTTCTTGAAGGTGAGAGTATCACATTAAACGCCGAGGCTCGAGTGAATCTTCAGGTCAACGTTGATGCTGCAACTGATGTTACGACAGCTATGGGGGTGCGGTCCATGCCGACATTCAAGGTCTTTAAGGACGGTGCTGAGCTGAAGACTATCACTGGTTGGGATAAGGCTGGTATGACCACTCTTTTGAACGAGAATGGAGCGAAGCTGTTATCCCCGGAGGAGAGAGAGAAGATCGTGAAAGAAGCTGCCGCTGCTGCTGCTGCGAATGCTGAGACTAAAAAGGATCAGTAGATTATGATAGATTAAGATTTTCCAAACCTTTCTGCGTTGATACAGAGATGTGTTCATTTTGAGAGTGACTAGAAATCAATGCCGAAACCACAACCGCGATAAATATTTGCTTCAAGGTTGTTACTATGAGAGCTGTGATTGTGATACAGTGTGGAATATTGCTATGCAAATACACGCTAGCACGAACTTTCTAGATGCTTAACAAGGAGATACTTGCACGCTAGCGCCACATTGTTGACAGCTCTCATGTTATGTGCACACCCGAGCTGCGATCTTACTGGGTTATCGCGAGCAATGTTGGTGGAAACCGCACACCTGAATGCTGAGTGCTGTGACATATTGAAGATTGCTCGTCTATTGTACCAGGTGAAGGGCAGTAAACTGAAAACGCCGTCGACACTCGAAAGGCGGAGATCGGCAAGGCTTTCTAGCTCTGGAAAGTAGTCAAGGATCTCTAAGAGTGACGCTCCATGATTTTGTGCAGTGTCGGTAAATATGCACATGATCAACTACATCTATTGGTGACAATATGAAAAGCCTGGGAAATTCTTATCGGTTTCTGTGCATTCCTATCCCAACTAGTGTGTGAACTCCTATACTTGAGAAACTCTTGAGCTCAGCTGAGGAGAGCGAACATGTATTCCAACACGTGTGTTCGCCCATAAGGGATATCTGACAAAATCGTAAATGGAAGTTTGCAGGGAAGTGTGGGTTAAATGATGCATGTTGATGAGGTTGGGCATATCTCAAGGTGGCATAGCGGCCCCACTTTGAGGTTGCATAGCGACCCCACTTGGATACGTTTTATTGAGGCATATCTTGAGGTGGCATAGCGGCCCCACTTAGATCAGTTTTATTGAGGCATTTCTTGAGGTGTAGCAGCCCCTCTTGGATAAGCTGTATCGAGGCATGTCTTGAGTTGGCATAGCGGCCTCACTTGGATTAGTTGTATCGGACATATCTCAAGGTGGAATAGCGGCCCCACTTGGATAAGAATAGGAATTAGTCTTAACAGGATGTAGTGCCCTCAAGACACCCCATCATTACACTACTCGATCGAGTACTGATGAATCAATGGGAAGAGTATCTATAAGGAGAACAACAACAACAATAATCACTCAATGAGTGATTAGATGCAACTAGAGGAGATACAAGCTCAATATAATAGTAAATACCTGCCATTCCCTTTTATCCAACGCATTCTTTCTAATGCACTCCCACATTCCACCACAATCCTCGACGTAGACGTAGAGTCTACAGCATAGCCTCATGTGCAGTGAGGTAAAAGTTGCACAACACAATTTTTGGGTAACACACAAAGTTGCGTCACAGATGTTTTTGACTTCTACGATCGACATTTGTGGGGGCTACTCGTATTATAACCCTTGGACTTTAACCACTCTGAACTAATCAGTATTAGTTTCAACAGACTAAATGGAGTCCGTCCTTCATGGTGTGCAGGACCTCGTGTTGAGGTGCCGCTCGCTCTTCCGATCCCACGGCACGGTGATCGTAGTGACTGGTGTGGCCTCGTTGCTGGCCTTAAAAGCTCTAAGGCTCATGAGACGTACGACGGTGGACCTCCATGCAGTTTTTGGTGGACCCAATCATGTAAGCTGTTAATGCGCTAGTGTTCCTCTCTAGACGTGCGACTGTTCAAGTTCCTTCCTATCCTTGGTTTCATCCCGAAGTCGTTGGATCACCTTTTCCATGCCGCAGAGATTTACGCTGATACTTACGGAGATGTATACTATATGAAGTAAGATAGAAAGCATTTGGGCCGCTTCTCGATCGCATGCGCCCCTTTTCCAGAACTCTTGGAAGGGACATTGTGGTAGTCTCTGATCCTGAGCTCATCCGTGAGGTCTTAAATGCCCGTCCAAGGACCTACATCAAACCCTTCAATAAGCACAAGATAATGCCCATGGAGGGAATGTTCAATACGGAAGGCGAGGCTTGGAAACGGAACAGACGATTGGGTGCACCAGCCTTCAACGACAGTAACTCTATGGCTATGATTCCAGACATGTTCAAGATCGCCTTGAGACTGGTAAGATCCTGATTCGCGTCGCTTCCTCTCCTTTGTGTCCGTAGATACGCCAGTTGGAGCGCCTCAGTCAAGATGGTCGCATCGTTTGGCGGCCCGTAGAATGGCTTCCCCTCTGCACTCTGGATGTCTTATGTGTCACGACTCTCGGGAAGGACTATAATTTTTTAAACCCAGATGGTGCGTACACGGTTCATCGCATGCACTCTTCCTCATCAAACGTCGCACTCCCTCCCATCGTGGTATGGTCTAGTAACTAGACCATAATCAAGAAAACTAGACTGTAGTTCTCTTGATTTTGTTAGTTTTAGCCATTGATCATGTACGGCCTTTAAGGAGGGTCATTTACACAACAATGCGATGTTGTTGCATTGGTTTTGACCCAAACCGATGCATTGGTGTTGAAGTGTTATGTATTGGTCTCTTCAGGACTGCCTCTAGGCCGCCAGTCTGGAGAGCTCCAGCTGGCGATGGATGATTTGCTAGTCGGCTCCGGCTATGCTTTACAACGTAGTGCCATGCCGTGGATTACACGGGACAGATTCCCTTGGAACCTTAATCCGATGATCAAAAAGGTGAACACCTCAAGCAGATGTCCAGTCGTCTTTCGACTTTTATTGTCAGATGCATTCAGGGGCCAAACAGCTGAATAGAATATGTGACGAGATCATCAAAGAAAGACGGGCGGAGCGGAGGTCGGGAAAAGGAGTTGAAAGGCATGACTTGCTGGACAAGTTACTCCATCTTGATGAAGCGGACTTGCGAGGCAATCTCATGAC